GTGTCCAACATCTTTTCTGAAATGTCCAACTCAAGTGTCCAACATCTTTCTGAAGTATCCTACACTTGGTGCTCTTAAAAATACTTGCCAATGCTGCATGACCTACATAAAAAAAATGTAATAAAGTTAAAATTGTTTGTTGCCGATCTGATTGTAGCTTATTTTTTTCTTAATCGCTGTGCTATTGGCTCCTGATGTGGTTGTCGATGCCATTACATAGGCTCCTTGTTTCGACATTTATCCTAGCACTTGTAAGAATGTGAAACAAAGCCTTTGAAGTGACTTTTCTCCATACTTTTGCAGGCTTCTGTAATTCTTTTTGATAAAGTATCTTCCTGCAAAAACCTATGGCGCTTAACCTTACTCTTTGCCACCGCCCAGAATTGTTCTATTGGGTTAAGTTCAGAAGAGTAAGTAGGAAGATACACGCATTTGTATCCTTGATACTCAATATACTTCTTTATGTTTTCGTGCGTGTGAATGGGTGCATTATCCATGACTATATAATGGCCTTTCATATGCAAATGTTTGTCCATTTCATCGAGAGTCGTTTTTAAGAAACTGATGTAGTGGACTGTGACAGTTCCTGAGCTTATATATCCACCAGCTTTTCTCTTCTTAGCAGGTCTTGGTTTTTTCACGCCAACTGCAATCAAACCCGAAGCGGAGATAGCGCCAAATATAGACGTTGCATTAGCTCTCGTAGTGGGTCTGGTAACAATGGCACGAGAACCTTTTTTGGACCAAGCTCGTGAGCGTTTCATATTAGTATCAAACGCAGGCTCGTCAAGAAGCACGCAATTCATCAGGAAATTCATGTCCGTATTCTCCCATTTGCAAACCCAATCGTGTCGTTCCTCGATCTTTGCCGAACTGTTTCTCTCAATAGAATGAAAATTTGCTTTCTTCAACGAAAGGTTACATTCACTTCTCATAAAGTTATAGACAGTGCTGCGTGAGGCTTTAAGATCATGAAATTGCGTCGATAAATGCTCGGTCACTTAAACAACAGTAGCAGAAGGATTAGCATCAATGAAGTTGATAACAACCGTTTTATGCTCTTCGGTTAAGATGCACTTACGGCCTACTTTTTTACAACTCTCAAAAATACTATCAGGACACACATTATACTGGTTAACCCATCTCTTCGCTGCTCGAATGTGAATACCCAACTGCTTCGCTGCAGCTGACGCACTCATGCACTTTTCGATCTTCAAATCAAAAAACCTAGCTTTATCCTGAACAGTATAACGCACATAATCTCGTTTCGTGTTTGCATCCTTCATACGGATATCTTTGTCTTTTGTATTCTCTATCAACATTGGGCAAGTCAGAGATGATTCACTGGAGGCAGTACTTTTCAAGTACTCAGTATGTGTGGCAATTGTCTCAACAATAAATCCATTCTGATCAACAATGTAGTCCATAGGCTTAGGGCCGCCATTCTCATCAATAACCTTTCCATGCCCATCTTCATATAAAAATATTGTATTCATGTTAAATAGCAAAGTATTGATAAAAAAAAAAAAACTACCACTCTTCAATTTATATTTTTTTTCCAGTGCCAAGATTTACGACATGATTTCTGAAAATATAAAGTTAATTTTGATTGGACAGCGACATCAATTTTGATTGCCCTGTGACATCATTTTTCATTGGCCAGCGACGTCGATTTTGGTTGGCTGTGACACTGCTTGTTGAAAGCACTGTACTCAAAGGTTGAGCCACCATCACCATCTGACCCAGGGCAGAAACTGACTAAATGGTTACTTGATTCTTCATAGCAGTGCTTTTAACACTTGTTCCGTGAACCTGTCAGCCAAAGCATTTTTACCCTCAAGCCCAGAGGGATTTTTAGATACTGCCTCACAGCTTGAACTGGCCAGGGCAAAAACGATATAATAAAATTGTCTTACCGTACTCAAAGGTCATTAAAGTGGTTCTTTATTAAGGGAAAAACTACGCACAGGCAACAACACACGCGAAAATAAAATTAGTGTGACGTATACATAATTTTTCTTCTTATATACACGCGAAAACGCTATGAGCACCCCATTTATGTGGTTGATTGATTTCGGCTTACGTTCCTGATAATTAAGCTGTCATTTTTGAAAATACACTTTTTTACTGTGAAATAATGTACGCCAACAACAAAAACACCTCATCAGCAAGCAACAGCTATGAATCTTCAGATGACCATATTAAGTCGTTGGGAGAAACTGCCCGAACTTTGAACGAAAATGGTGAATTTATACCTAAAATTTATTTCTCTAACGAAGAGATCCGTGAGGCTCTCCTTGGATTCGAAGAGAAGTTCAATATTGTATTGAGTATTAAAAACTCCAGTGTTTATACTGTTTTTTCTGGTTCATAAACACAGTGGCGCTTACCGCGTTATGAATAGAGAAGAGTCTGCTACGAAAAAGCTCAAAAAAAGCAGAAAACTGACCGTGGCTGTTACATTAAAGTAAAGACGAATAAATTAGGCCGCTGGTTCATCAACAAATGGAAGGGTAGACACAGTGATCCTATATTTAAGTTGAGATCTATTTGCAGCCAATACCGGATTCAACCAGAATAAATTGGACAAAGAATTGGTAATATGTTCAAAGTCGGCCTGTCTCCTAGCTCTGTTTTTACCGTACGTTAGCCTGAAAACACCAGAAATATCACTCAAAAAGACTTGGAGAACGAACACTTAGATTTTTTTCGATCTGAAAAAGGAAAAGCTATGTTTGATTGACAATAATCATATCGACATGGTGTTCTTCTGCCCTGAGTTATCCGTCCTTAAAGCAAGAATAATGCCGACGAGCATTATAATTGACGCTACTTACAAAACCAATGCATATAAACTGGTATCTGTCAATATTGTAAGAACAAGCAACGTAATGTCGAAGAAAAAAGATTCTCTGTCAACTTTTGAAATTGGCGGTGCGTGGACTAATGAAGAAAAGTAGTTCAATTATGGCTGGGCGCTCAACTGCCTTAAGAACACGATCTGATCTTCCAATTTACAAGAAAAAATTCCTCTTCCTTCAGCTATTGCTACAGACAATGACAAAGCATTGAGAGCAACAATATCGACGATATTCAATACATTTTTGAATATATTCTGTTTCGTCCACCTATAGAGAAACTTTGAAATCAATTTGATGCAGCATGTAGCGAAAAGAAACAAAGATAAAAGGGATCTTATCAAGCTTGATATTCAAGCTATGTTCCAAGAGATCGCGCTTAGGGCAGACACCAAGCAAAGCATGGGAGAAGCTGTATCTAAAAGGAAGAAACATTTTTTAAAAGATGGCGTTTGTAAATCTTCAAAAGAAAAGGACAAAGCAGATTCTACAAGCATTACCATCAAGTCTATCAAAAATGATGTAGTAGAAGGCTTAACTAATTTAACCGAATATAGGTCAATTCAATTAGTTCAGAGAAGCGACAGAAAAAGAATAAAGCTACTGAATATATAGCCAAACTAAGTGCATTTCATGAGCATTGAAAGAGAACCTCTAGCACTTAATTGTACTGTTTTCTAAAATGAATATGTTTTAGGATAATGTAAGAAGCGAAGCACTGGATATGCTATCATACATATCAATATATGCATTTTAATAATAGATCAACCAACAGAGTTGAAGGTTCGTACTCTGCTATTAAGCATTCAATAAAAGCTTCTTTAAGTACTATTACCGACAAGACTGATAAGTTGTATAAAAGAAGGGCAAATTTTTCAAGCTATTACAAATTCTTAAATAGAAATTGGTACTCACAATAACAACATAGGATGAAGAAAGTGGACAGAAGACAGCTACTGAAGTATATCCTATAGAACTGATATCTATAAACAAACTAGAATCTACAGCAATACATCACACTTAGTACAAAAAGTACATTCATTTGCTCTTGACCGTATATTTTATGAGCTGCTAGAAATTCAAGAGTCGAAAGCGCCAATAGCTTACATGGAAGCTTATCGTTGTGCAGTGATACTTCATTACAGCCTGCCTTGTAAACATATTCTGATAGCTGAAAGAGAAAAAGTTCCACTATCTATAATTGCAAGACGATGGTATATAAATTACAATAAAATAAGTGATGGTAAACACAGAGCATATTGAACATAAATTTTATGATAATGAATATCGCATATTATACAGTTGAGAAAGGGCTTGCTCAGCTTGAACGACGTCAGGATCCTGGGCTTTGAGATCTTGCAAGATTCGACGGTACTTTTTGATTTTCCACGTCTTGTCTTGCTGTTGTTTAGTGTACCGAAATTTCACTGGTTGCTCTGGTGTAGAGTTTTCATGCACAAAATACAACGTATCTCTTCTTCCTGGGTCCACAGCGACGCATCGACCAGAAATCTCTTGATGATTTCGACGAGTTAGATTGGCGATGTAGGAGGTAGCTTCATACTCCACTGTGAACCTTGCCGTGTATCTTGTTTGCCTGTCAAACCTCTTCTTGAGAACCGTGACACCAACACCATCAGTTTAAATAGTGCCACGGAATCTAAGTTGTCCACCTTCTTGCGGCTTGAGGGCTTTTGAGTCAAGGTTGACAACTCGGCGCCAGTAGTCCAGTTTATCGACAGCATTAGACCATCGAATTCCCAGGATGTTTTGGCAGAGAATATTGCTGTCGATAATAACGTAACAAGGAAACCATGAGCGCTGGAGAGGAAAACAATTGAAGACGGGCAAACCAAGATGTACAAAGAGACGAGAGAGTTGATAGAAGGCTTTAAAGTGGTTGACAGGGTTATGCTTGATATCATAATAAAGTCCCTGTTCGCCAAAGTTGTAGCCTCTATCATAAGCATCAAAAACAGGCCGAAGAGTGTTAAGAGCTTCCATATAAATAGGTTCTTGAGG